CAGTGGACGTTTCCGGCCACCGCAGTCTCGACCTGCTGGGCTCCGGCGATCCTTCCGCCTCAGCCCTCCAAGTAGCTGGAACTACAGGCGCGCGCTACCACGCCCGGCTAATTTTTTGATTTGTTGTGGAGATAAGGTCTCGTCAAGTTGTCCAGGCGGGTCTTGAACCCGCGGGCTCAGGCAATCCACTCACCTCGGCCTCCCAAAGTGCTGGGATTACAGGCTGAGCCACCGAGCCCGGCCGCTCATTTCTACAATAAATCAAAAAATGAGCCGGGCTTGGTGGCGCATGCCTGTAGTTCCAGCTACTTGGAAGGCTGAGGTGGAAGGATTGCCTGAGAACAGCAGGTTGAGGCTGTGGTGGCCATGAGCAGCATGCCATTGCACTCCAGCCTGGGTGACAGAGTGACTCCTACTCAAAAATAATAATGATAATAAAAAAATCAAAATGGTTGTGTTTTATTTCTTATTTTATTTTTATTTTTGAGTTGGAGTCTCACTCCATCGCCCAGACTGGAGTGCAGTGTCCGCTTCCGGCCACTGCAGCCTCGACCTGCTGGGCTCCGGCGATCCTTCCTCCTCAGCCTTCCAAGTAGCTGGAACCACAGGCGCGCGCTACCACGCCCAGCTAATTTTTTATTTATTGTAGAGATGAGGTCTCGCCAAGTTGCCCAGGCGGGTCTCAAACCCGCGGACTCAGGCAATTCACTCACCTCAGCCTCCCAAAGCACAGGATTACAGGCTAGCCACCGAGCCTGGCTTGTGTTTTCTTTTATTTATTTAAAAAGTATCTGTAAAGATAGAATCTTGTTGTGCTGCCCAGGCTGGTCTTGAGCTCCTGGCCTAAAACGATCCTCATGCCGGGGCCTCCCAAAGTGCTGGAATTACAGGTGGGAGCCACCGCATCCAACCAAAAATGGTAATATTTTATTTTATTTATTTTTTTGAGTCAAAGTCTCACTCTGTTGCCCAGACTGGAGTGTAGTGCCATGCTCATGGCCATCATAGCCTTGATCTGCTTGGCTCAGGCAATCCTTCTGTCTCAGCCTTCCAAGTAGCTAGAACTACAGGCATGCACCACCACACCTGGCTAATTTTTTTCATTTATTGTAAAGATGAGGTCTTGCCAAGTTGCCCAGGCTGGTCTTGAACTCCTGGGCTCAGGCAATCCTCCTGCTTCTGCCTCCCAAAGTGCTGGGATTACAGACCACCGTACTTTAAGTGGTTATATAAGTATCAATGTAATATTCTCAGTTTTGTCTCTTGGTCAACACAGTTTAAAATATTTTCTACCAGCCCTTTTGAAAAAAAGTTTGCTGAGGCTTGCTTTAAAATACTGTACATCTGGCCAGGCACGGTGGCTCAAGCCTGTAATCCCAGCACTTTGGGAGCCCAAGGCGAGAGGATTGCGAGCCCAG